CTGCTATAAAGCTATAAAGAGCCTTCAAGCTTACTTTGGAAGGCTTTACCTTGTCAGTAACTTAAATCAGGGACAAATAACAAATGGCATTTACACAAACAACATAGAGTATGCTCAATGCCATACATGGCATGTATACTGGCAACCTAACATAATCAGTTCAATATGCATGAAAACTGTGTAGCAAGTCTCATTTATCATGATTTTGAAAATAAAACTTCATTTAGGTAAGATTAGAATTATGTCTAGCAAAGCCAAAAGAGGTTTTATGACATATAGGACCTATGAATGGAGGTCATTGAGATGAAGTAGAATAAGATATGAATGAATATGAAAACTTGATAGCACAATGGATGATGAAGTTTAATTAAAATGTCTCAGTTGCATCTCTTGTACTGTGAGGTTTTTCATGTAAACCTCAGAGAGTTGATGTTATATTAAATCTACCTTTCCCTATAAATTAAATCTTATTGGAAGAGACTCATGCTGTCCACTTTATTTTCATTCCTCAAGCTGTGTTGTGGCATTAATGTCTCCAAGCGTTGAGGCATGGTCTGAGTGGGGCATGACTCAAATTGGGGGACAGGAGTCATGTGTCATGTCCCAAGCCATCTATTATTTTGGTGAAAACACACGTCATTCTGCTGTAATGCATTGTAGCAACCATACAGCAAAGGTGAGTTTCTTTTGTCAGGCATGCTTGTTTTTAGAATTCCAGGAAGATTTTATAGACTTTTATCTGTCAATGTCCTTGTGTGTGTTTATACTATTATGCAGGAATTATTCATATGAGAATAGCACACTATAATGTACAGATATGACCAGTAGGATGCATCTGTGGATGAATCATGAAAAGATTGCATCAATATGCTATCTGTAAAAGCCTAATGATGACAGAAAGATATTACACTTGCAACTTTCTATGTTTGCTGAAAGGACAACAACACTGTTAGATACAAAAAACTTTCAGTAATGTATATTGCCAAAATAAATTTCAGAGGTAATTGAAAGTAAATGGAAATCACCGAATACTAAAATTGTTATCTGTCCATATAATTTTTGTTTTTATACTAGAGTGTTTGTTTGTGAATTTTTGTAAAACCACTGCAGTCACTGTAAGAGAAGCATGATATGTTAAAGATGGACCAATAGCATAGAGAAATTAGAACAGTATACATTGTAGGATATCAAAACAGGGTGTCATTTTATATCAATAATTTGTATTTGCAGTTTTGGGTACGACGTCTAGTAAAGGCAAATGCAATTCTGGTTGCCATTGAAACAAAACCAGAAGAATGTGGTGTATACTCCAGTCTTCCAAATATCACACCAGAAAGAGTTACTACAGTGAAACCTTGTGCATATCAAGCAAGGTTCAGAAGACGGCCATCAAGCTGCCTCATGGGTAACTCAACAGTAAGTACCATGATAGGATTGATAGTTTCACAAATGTTGTATTTCTCAAAGTCTGAAGCTTAGTGTATGGATTTTTTTATGACAATGAATATCTAATGTCCTGAGAACACTTAAATATAGTTGACCATTTAATGAGTGCATGAAGTATCAACATTGTCAGTGGATTGGCATTTGATTATCTATCTGAGTAGCTGATATACTGTTGTTCAAAATATGCAAATTTGATTGCCTGATAGATCAAGCTAAATAGACTCCGCATACAAACTGTTATGTTGTACTTCACAAAGTAACCAGACAGCAATTTTTAATGAAAGCCTTAGATACTTGTCATGGCTTGGATCTGAATACTCCTTTAGGTAATTATATTGGTTTCTCAGGCTCAGTAGTTAGAAGATGTAGTAAACATTTTGGAATATATGTAGAGTAAACATTTTGAATGATTTAGTTAAAGGGATTTATAAAAGCTATGTCAATTTTCTTAATGATACATTTTTTTTTTGTCTTACAGGATTATTGCAGTAAATCATCACATACAGCAGCAGCTTCAGTTGGAACAGTGCTAAGTGTTTTACTTGTTTGTAAAATCATGGGAAGTATATATTAAGTACTGTGATTCTATTGGTACAGATGATATTAGCTATATTTTCATGTATGGGACTTGAAAATTAGGATTTATATTCTATGAAAAAACTAAGAAAAAATTATTGAAATTAACATTTTTATGTGTTTATTGAGTGTATGTTATGTGGAATTTGTTAATATATAATTTAAGAATTCTTGCTGGATAAGTTACAAGGAAAGTAACAAGTGGAAGCATGAATAAATTAAAGCATAATCTTTAAAACATTTATTTTGCAAGTTATGCATGACATGTATGCATGTAAAACATTTTGTGTTAAATGTTTGAAAACACACACACACACACACACACACACACACACACACACACACACACACACACACACACACACACACACACACACACACACACACACACACACACACACACACACACACACACACACACACACACACACACACATGAAAATATATATATATATATATATATATATATATATATATA